CAGTGGAGAAGTCAAGTCTGAGGGCAATGTGTGGCGTGGAATATAAATTCAGAGAATTCGTAGTTTGGAAGTTAGGAGGAGGTGCGGGATTACCAAAAACTGTTGTCCAGAGGGGTGAGGAAGGGTTGTTGAGGTGGTTCGGACATGTAGAGAGAATGGAGCGAAACAGAATGACTTCAAGAGTGTATCAGTCTGTAGTGGAAGGAAGGCGGGGTAGGGGTCGGCCCAGGAAAGGTTGGGAGAGAGGGGGTAAAGGAGGGTTTTTGTGTGCGAGGGGCTTGGACTTCCAGCAGGTATGCATGAGCGTGTTTGATAGGAGTGGGAATGGAGACAAATGGTTTTTAATACTTGAAAGTGCTGTTGGAGTGTGAGCAAAGTAACTTTATGAAGGGGTTCAGGGAAACCGGCAGGCCGGACTTGAGTCCTTTGGGGATGGGGAAGTACAGTGCCTGCACTCTGAAGGAGGGGTGTTAATGTTGCAGTTTAAAACTGTAGTGTAAAGCACCCCTTCTGGCAAGACAGTGATGGAGTGAATGATGGTTTAAAGTTTTTCTTTTTCGGGCCACCCTGCCTTGGTGGGAATCGGCCAGTGTGATAATAAAAAAAAAATAATAAAATATATATATATATACATATATGTATGTATATACATATATATGTGTACATATTTAATATATATAATATATTTATATATATATATATATATAATATATATATATATATATAATATTATATCTTTCTTTCAACACACCGGCCGTATCCCACCAAGGCAGGGTGGCCCAAAAAGAAAATCGAAAGTGTCTCTTATAAATTTAGTAATTTATACGGGATAAGGGGTTACTAGCCCCTTGCTCCCGGCATTTTAGTAGCCTCTTACAACACGCATGGCTTACGGAGGAAGAATTCTGTTCTACTTCCCCATGGAGATAAGAGGAAATAAACAAGAACAAGAACTAGAAAGAAAATAGAAGAATACCCAGAGGTGTGTGTGTATATATGCTTGTACATGTATGTGTAGTGTGACCTAAGTGCAAGTAGAAGTAGCAAGACATACCTGAAATCTTGCATGTTTATGAGACAGACAAAAGACAAACCAGCGAGAGACTGTTAACAGAAATGTTTTTTAAATTTTATTTATTTTGGGAAGGCGGCGTGGAAAAGAAGACGACATCACTTCAAATCACAAATCAAAACTTCTATGAAAGGGGCAGCTAGTGACTTTCACTTCCGGCGCATTACGACGAAGGCCCCAGAGAACGTAGTTTCGGTCTCTCAAAACGGCCAAGGGGGTTTTGTTGAGTTGTTATTCATGAACCCCCTGGCTTTTTCAATTTCGATTTCGACCAGTTTTTGAATTTTTTAAAAAATTATCTAAATCATGAAACAAGTCTAAAAACAAATAACAAATTTTAAAATACATTTGATTTGATTTTAAATGAAATTTTTTCCATCATTTAAAAAATAACATTAATAAAAGAAAAAATGCTGAAAAATATAATATGTCATCTTTATCTAGAATAAAAATATTTTGCATTTCAAAATATTCCTTTATAATTGCCTTCAGATGGGTCGTTGCAGTGGACTACATTTGACCCTTTCACTAACCAGTCGGCCAAGGCAGGGGGAAATATGATTATCTCAGGTTATCTTTCCCCAAAGTTTTTTGTAAAGTTTTAATTTAAGTATGTACTTCTTTTGCAAATTTTCTTTTTTTCTAAAATATGAGTCTCGCCTGTGAATGGACTTCAGAGGCTTTGATTATTTACGGGACACAATGCTGGTCGAAATGGTTCTAATTTTCATATAAAGTGATGCCGAAATACACATTTTCTCTTTATGAAAATTAAAACTTCTTGTAAAGATACCATATTTTCTGTTATGCACTACGGTTATTAATTAATAAAGAAAGTACTGAAATAGCATTTTTTTTTATCTGCAGGTTCTGTGTAGCCCACCTTTTTTCTACAGGTCAGCGATTGGTATTCCCTGAAGATAAAAACGGTTACTCCAGGCGGGGGACTCAGCCTTGGACGATGGTTGATTGGGTCATGCCCTTTACGGGCGGTTTTTTATACGGTGAGAAGAGAGAGTGAGGAGAGAGAGAGGAACGAATAAATAATACGAATATGCCCAGCACAGAGGGGGACATCTGCCAGCTACAATTACACCTCCCCTGCCCTGGAACCACCTTTTCCAACGCGGGTGACCACGTCAAGTTCGGTTTCCCCAAGGGCCCTAACGCCCCCGTCCTGGCCGGGGCTCATAGACTTTCAAGGTTATGGGAAAGCGGGAAGAAATGCACGTTTGTTTATTAGATTTTTTTTTTACAATTTATGTTTTTTTTTTTTAATTTTAAAGGGAAAACCGAAAGGTAATTTTAAAAAGAATTGTGTCAAATTAAAAATATTAAATCAACAAGAATTTAGTAATAAATTGATTAAAGGAAGTAAATTAAAACAGTTCAAGTTATTTTTAAAAAGACTTACTAAAGACCCCCTTAAATTAAAATTATAATTTATTCTCTTTCTAAATTAGGAAAGTACTATCGTTTTCGATTTTTATATATATTATATTTTTATATATATATATATATATATATATATATATTATATATTATATATATATATAATTATAAATTTTTATATATATATATATATTATATATATAAATATATATTTATATATATATATATATATATATATATATATATATATGGTCCAATTGTAAAACTGGTAAAATTCCAAAAACTCATTTAAAATTAAAGCCCCTTTTCGAAATTTTCTTTATCGTTTAAAGATTTTTTTTTTTCTTAAATGTTAATGAAAAAATTTTTGATTTTGCCCCAAAAAGAATTTAGAAAACTTACCAAACCCTTTTATAACAAAGAATTTTTAATTTTAGCCAAACCCAACTAAATTATTTTTAAATACGTTTAAAATAATTTAGTACAAACAAAAAATCAAAATTTTTTTTTCGTTGGGTTTCCCCCAAAAAAGATTTTGGCGACGTTATTGCAACACAAATTTTCATTGCCCTATATGAAGTTGGCGTTGCTATTTAACCCAAAGACAAAAGTTCTGCCAATTCGGCACGACATTATATATATTTATAATATATATATTTATATTATATTAATATATTATATATTATTTATATATATAAATATACCACACACACTTATACTATACAGGGCACGTTTAAAATAAGTACAAACATCCCTCTAACTATCGGGAAATCGAACCCTCGCCTTTAAAGAAAGATTCAAAAAATTGAACATGTTGTTACTTCGCCCCCAACATATTAATACGTTCAACCATTCAGAAAAAAAAAAAAAGAACATAAAAAGAGGAAAACTGCAATAGGCCTGTTTGGGCCCATCTACTAATAATAATAATGTAAATTAAAAACCGTCAACAATTTCTCAAAAGATCCCCGGGCCCCTTTAAAAACATTTTAAAATACATTCTCAAAAGTTATAAATTACACCTTCATAACATGCAATAAAAAAAGTAAAACCCAAAGGGAACATGTCTACATGTAACGACTTTAGTAATTCTCAGAAATTCTACACTATGTTAACAACAAGTATGCGGTGCCAGCAACACGCTAACATCTGACAATAATACTTAAAAAAACACGTTACAAAAAAAACCCGCAAAATATCCTAGATTGTCAAAAAAAAACGAAAAAAGCACGTTTCTTACTCGACGAAACATCCGAAAAACGGATACTCAATAATACTTAAAAAACACTTCCCCAAGTCTTCTACACACGTCTAACTTTCTGTGCATAAAAAGAAAAATAAATAAAATTAATATTTGTAATTTTTTAATTAGGCTAGATTGGTTGGTTATTAGGTGCGTGTATTAAAAATATAATTGCGTATAATTTTCAGAGAATAATGAAATTTAGAAACACTACCTGTTTTGTCCGGCAGCGAAAGGCAAATTTGGAAATTTTTTGAGTGAGTATTTTCTCACGAAAGTAAAAAGAAAGTCAAAGTTATCGTTGCACGAATCTCCACAACACTAGCTGACAGTAGTAACGTGTATTCCCTTAGGTAAACGAAAATGGTCGTGGCTTCAAGTGGGGGACCCATACTTCCTAAGGGCCCCCAAATGCTGAATAGAAATTATTCGGCCAGGGGGTCATTTTATAACCCTTCAATTTAGGGTGCTCATTTTGTGTATTCAACATTTTGTGTGATTGTGATTGGGTTTTTCATACTTTTTAAATTTTAGGGGTACAGGTGGGAAGGGAGATATTTACCCCCAGATTTGGGTCGACCTAGGGTATGATATGGACGACCTCCATGAAGATTGACAGGATGCCCAGGTCAGTTGATCGACGCCTTTTTTTTGCTGGTCTTGTATGGAAGGGTTTATTGTTGGGTTTTAAAAATTTCGTTAATTTTGTATAATTTTTCAAGTTAAATTTTATTTATCATCAACTGTGATGTGTTCTTACCTTGTTAATTGTCTTGGGGCTGGTTGTTTTTTAAAAATAAATACTTACAAAGATAAAGAATATATTAACCCCAAAGAAAACCCGCTCTCGGCCTAGACTACCTACCCGGTTTAACTTCACCAGAAAAAAAAGATAAAGACTTTTAAAGAGACAGAGATATGGTTTTAAACTTGTAAACTTGTGAGGAGTAAAGTTTTTTATGGCTCTGCAGGAACTGAACGGTTGTGAACTGCTGCTGCCCTCGCTGCCGCCCCTATTGCTTAAGGTTAAAGCAGCTCCTGTTAACTTTAAATCCCCCTACACCTATCCCCCCTTATTCCCGAGGATATGAGTTCATAAATTTTGGGGTTGCTCAATTGACTTCACAACTTTTTCCAAAAGGGGACTGTCTCAAGAGTTATCGTGTAGGTACCAAGCAGTCTTGTCCATACAACTAATTCTTAAGATTGCTGCACCTAGGCTCTAACCTATATGTATGCGGAGTCTAATGTTTTCTTTCTTTACTATATATCACATTACGAGCACTTAACTACATAGCATTTTTAACTGTGTGCAGGACGTTGACTCCGCCTATGCGGCCGAGATGTTGGACGTTGCCAAGGAGCTCTATGCTTTCGGAGACGAATACCGCCTCGAGTACCACGAATCCATCACCGACGCTGGCAACTTCTACAG